ATTTGCGATCATATAGAGGATCATCAACTCCGAGTGAACCTACCAGTGTCAGTCCTTGAGCGCTTATTACTACTCTGCACAACCGATGTGTCCTTTACGTTTCAAGGAAATGTGTATAGGCAAATTGACGGTGTCGCTATGGGAAGCCCGTTGGGCCCAGTCCTGGCAGACCTGTTTATGGCACATCTCAAACACAAGGCAAAGAAAATTCTGGAACGTGCAATCCTCTACAAACGCTACGTCGACGACAACCGTCGAGGTCGGAAGCCTTATACCTTTTGAGATAATTTATTTCTCCGGTAATCTTCATTTCAGATGGATGACTGAGGTCAACTGGCAGTATTTGCACGGTTGAACCGAGTATAGGGAAGTCTTATGATGACGAGAGCCAGCCGAACCGAGCCTTAAATGTTCTGCTCATCAATCTAGATGGCTTTGCTGAATATGGATCAGTGTGCCGTGGGACTCCTTAATTATCTCGGGCCTGCTTTTCTTGGAGCCCTACTTCTAAGTAATCGGAAAAGATTGTGACTAATACCAATAGCCACAGCCTTCACCTCTCTACACTTTTTAGTCCACCACCTCTCGCGGTCATTCCTCAGACTCCTGACGAGCTGGCGTTTAAGGGATTTGTGCAATTTATCGTATTTTAATTTCGAATGAATGGCTTTACGAGCGTCCAGCGTCAAGGTGAAGCCTCCTTGTGATGGGCGTGAACACTAAATCTAGAAGTTATTCGTTATCTCCAGATAATGGCGCATTTTCATGGGCTGAAATACCTTCCATCAGATAAATCATGTATTCAAAAATTCATGCGTTTTTGATGAGAAATCGTTGAAAAGTAACGTACGAACAATCAGTTACGTTACGATGGATTAGCTGAATGGGATGAAATCTCGAGGTCACTTTCGTAAACTGACATCGACAAACTGAATGTTTTGGAAGATCAAAGAGCTCCAAACTTCGAAAAACATTTGTAGTCCGATGCTGAAAACAATATTTGGATTTACATTATTCAAAGAAGACTGGGGTTTTCTTCCGGTGCGATGATTTTCATGGATGAATCTTTAAAGCCGTGATTCCGAAAGTAGCTACTTTGCGCTTTAGAAAACAAGTGCTGGAAAACTGAAGTTTCCTTGAATTCTGTTACGTGTAAAGTGGTCATCAATTTATTGTGTCCAGTTGGATACCAATAGACATTAGGACACTTACCCAGACTCGTATTGTGCAATCGTCTGAGCCTGAAATCCACTCTCCCGAACCATTTACAGCATCTCTATGGCTGCTTGTTTGTTCACTGCTCCCCGATCGATAGAGTATCACACCAATCTCACCCCGATGACCCATCAGTTGACTGATCAATGTCATCTGTGTTCCGTCTGTGGAGGCATTCCGGACATAAACGGACCAATCGGCACTGGCACATGCAAACTGCTGCCTGAAATGAATTTGAAATAATATAGTGCAACTCTCATGAATGGGCAAGATTGAATGTGATCGGGTAGTTTTCAATTTCACTTTGAAATTGACAGGTATGCTGCCAATATTCGATTTTCACTATGGTTGTTTGCCATGTTTGGCAACCGAACAGCTCGACAAAAGTGAACCAGTGACGTTTTACATTCTGGTTACACGTGTGAGCCACAGTATTGTTCACCTAACATTCGTTGGTTTTTATGGACGGAATCCTTTGAGATGTAACCAGAGTAGTCTCGGGAGGGGGGTTAGTTAGAATAAACATGTGTTCTAGGATCCGCTGATCTTATCTGACAAGCTGAAACTAAAGCCCACGTCCGGAAGAAAATTGTTTGAGATGGTGCCGTTTTGGTCCAAAAACTTAACTATTCTTTGTATTCATAACTTTTTTACAATTATTTGTTCTGTTGTATTCACCACCCACTTGCCCTTTACTTTAACAGTATGGCATTGCCATGTTGATTGCTAACCAGCACACACGCCGTAGATATGTGTGACTCAGAGTGATTACGCCCTTTGATTCCACACAGCATAGTCGTGCACCGCTCGCGCGCATACAAGCTCTCAAATACACCTACGTGTAAACTACAGATCTCTATCAATTCTCATGCTCTTTTTTCAATCAATGGACTGAATCCATCCCTGCACCACGATCTCCGAATGTATATCCTCGGTAATACTCCATCTCATTTATTTTTTCCTCTTCGCATGCGCTAGCCGTATATAGAGTATTCTTTCCACCGTAAAAGACCCAGGTAATAAATAAGGACTCATGTGAAATCCAGTCTTATTGTATGTTCAAAATACCGGAAAGACACCTATATGGCTAATCTGACCCAGTGGCAAAAATAAAGCTGATTACTACTTCACATAAGCCAAGGAGAATAACCAAAAGACATTTAGACTATTGATGATTGGGTGGGTTTGTTTACTATAAATTATCAGGCGTCCATTTCATTTACCATTTTTCAGGGAATGAATTCAGCCGAATAATGATGAAATCCAATTTAGTAATTTGTAATTCGAACAGACCCGTACATCGAAATCATTGAACAGCAGCATAAACGAGATGCGGTATTACTCCAGCACCAATTTCGCGATTGCATAAATTTTGCTTAATCACACTGGTAGATACTATGAATATATTTCTTTCAATCTTTGATGCGAATTATTTGTAGTCAAAAGCATCATGCTACTGTACTTGGAAACTGCATATTTTAATGTGGTATTTAGAGGGAGTAATCAATAACTGAAAAGAATGAAAAAAAAGATTTAAACTCAGTTTTTAATTTTGACAATTATTTTGCTTGAAAATAGATTTGTTCCACAAATATTATCTATTGTTGTTATTCCTCGCCTAAAAATTATTTCCCCTTAAACTTTGGAGCAAGAAATTCCACATTTTTGCCGAATAATACAGTCAGGTGTTTGCTTCACCGTTTAAATGAATTAAATTCAATGGCGGCATAAGCGGAACAAGTGTCCAACTTAATGCATCCCTTTAACTCAGTGAAAGCATTGCAGGTAGAACAGATGACAACGTTCCTCGTTGTTTAGCCTTCCCCATTGTGCGTTTGGCCTTCATTGATCGGTTTCAGCGTTTGCTCATATTGTTCGCCTTGGTATCACACTGTTTGCCGAATAGCCCAAAGGGTCGTCAAAGCACCCTGACTGATTCAGGTAGGATGGTGTTTATTGCTCAGCTGTCACTGATTAGAACCAACCCTGACAGTGCACGCTGGCAAGGGTTTGTCGATTGAAAGGACCATGACGCCCCGTTTGTGCTTCTGTGTTTACCCGAGCCTATGTGCATGCCAGGAGAAGGAGTGAAATTCAACGAGGGCGATTGTCGACGTACGGTCTAAAGTAGTGCTCAAGCCTGAGCGACGCTGTAATAACGATACCCCAGGGAATATTCATTAGCCCTAAAAATGATCTGACCAGTGGTATATAAAATACATTGGATTGCTTGTTTAATTGCAACTACATCATAGGGTCTTATTGCAATTAACTATTGATATTGAGCAACAATAGCACAACAACTTCCATTGACCCTTGTCAGCGCTGAAATGACCATAATCTAACTCGTGTTACACTCGTAAGGACTTGATTAAGATGTCTTTGATTCGAAGATACGGAACTTACAACTCTTCGGTGTATGCCATGCTCAAAATGGCTCCATCTGCTGCTATTTCCGGGTCTCGTCCTGATACAACATTCACGTCGCGATACACGTCAAGTAGGGAACCGCTTTTAAGATCCCAGACACAAATTCTTTTATCCCAGCCGGAGGT